AGCGCTGACCCTGCAGGGGCCGGCCGGGGAGATCCCCTGCCGGCCTCGGCCCCACGGCCATCGCGGCACACCGGGCATTTGCCCGGTGTGCCCGATGGCCAGTCCGGGCCTGCCTTACCATCAAGACCTTCTGCAATATCACTAATAAAAATATTAAAGAGAATGGGTCCAAGTACAGATCCCTGAGGTACCCCACTGGTGACAAGTCCAAGCTTCGAATATATTCCATTAACTACAACCCTCTGTTGCCTGTCACTCAGCCACTGCCTTACCCATTCAGCAATATTTGAATCCAAACTTAAAGATTGCAGTTTATTGATAAGCCTTCTATGTGCAACAGTGTCAAAAGCCTTACTGAAATCTAGGTAAGCAATGTCTACTGCACCACCCTGATCTATAATTTTAGTTACCCAATCAAAAAAATCAATAAGATTAGTTTGGCATGATCTCCATGAAGTAAACCCATGTTGTCTCTGATCTTGAAATCCATGTGTTTTTAGATGTTCATCAATCCTATCCTTTAACATGGTTTCCATCACTTTCCCCACTAAAACTGTATATTTGGGGGCTGCTAAATTTGAGTGCCATGCTCAAGTACAACCCCACCTTGGTGCACCCCAGATGAGACTTGAACCCACAATCCCTGGCTTAGGAGGCCAGTGCCTTATCCATTAGGCCACTGGGGCTTGACTTTTGATGAAAAAGATGAAAAAGGCAAAGGTCATTGACTGGGCTTTACTCCTTCACAACCAAGTCCTATTTGTTTATAATTTAATTGAAGCAATTCTGTGTACATATAACTACACGTACATTTATATAATAAGGCCCCGCTTCTCCGGGGGCTCCTCCCTGGGGTAAATGAAAAAAATATTACATTTGTATTTTTGCCATATAATGTTTCCTAAAATTTACATTTTTCTACATTTGGTTCCAACAAACATTCCATTGGTTTCCAAGTCAACTGGTCAAGAAATAGCCGAGATTTGTTCATAATTTAACCATGATTGAACCAAGGGTATAATGTCGAAATACACATCAGTACGGAGGATTGGGAAGGAGGTCATGCTTTTGCGC